TCAAGTATTAAATACTTTATATAATTGTATGTGTTATACTTTTATATGGCTGGCAGTGCGGTAGGTTTGTTTACACCAGCATCACCACAAACAACTAAGTAAGGTGTTGCACTATGACGTGAATGTCACTAGGTGCTTGCATTTTTCAGCTTCATTATATTCTTATGGAACCACCATTGTACATGCAGCCCATTATTAAACAAACATCATTATGGGATACATGACTGTATAAAAGTGCCTGGCAGTAATAGACATTATGTATATAAGTTGTTATTATTTTTTTTGTAATAGTATCATTGAAAAATAACACAGAAAGTTGTTCTCTCTCCTTTACCCTCAAACTCTCTACCATACTATTTACTCAGGATGCTGAATTCACTTCTAATTGCCTTTAACCACTTGTTCCCTGATTTATGCCTATGATCCAACAGAAAAAAGTCAACAGTACATATAGTCAGGTTTTAGTACATGAGTAGACAATGTTTTTCTATATGGAATCTACTTTAAAACAGAATTTCTAGGAACACAGTGCATTCAAATGCTGGGTCTGCCTGAAAAGTGGTGAAGTACCACTTTCTGATGGTAATAATCTGACATGGTAAGTTTATGATATTATGACATTAGAAAGATATAGCTATATGGCCTATTTTTGTGTCTTTTTAGTTGTCTGCTTATTTATTTGTTTGTTGGTTGGTTTTGTTTTTGTCTTGTGGAGAAAAAAAGAGAAAAGGAGACTAAAGGAATCGTAGGGACCACCTAACTGATCTGGAACACTAAAAAAAGTTATCCCTTTATTTTTAACAAAGTACAGTGATTATGTTACTCATCAAGTTTCGAGGAAGAAAATCTCTAACTGATAAAGAAATTAATCAAGAGTCAACATAACAAAAGCTTAGCATCTGAACTTATTGTGAAGCCATGACCATTAAAAACGGGGAACATTTTAATAAAAACATAAGACTAGGATTTTTAAAAAACCTGCTTAGTATTAGCTAGTGAAATACACACCAAAGTGTCCCTAGGTGTTGATTGTTTACACCTGCTCTGTAAGATTATACTTAGAATATAGGAAAGTTATATCTTGATGAAAAAGTAATATTTCCAAAACATTTCATGGTACTTATCTGTATATCACATCAATTATGTAGCTTAGAATTTAGTTCATGAGACTGTATGAATCAAGAAGTATTATGTAAAACTAGAGGCCTGATGCATGAAATTCATGTAAGAGTAGGCCTTCCTTCCCCCAGCTGCTGGCACCGGCTTCCCTCTGGCACCTGGGACCTGGGCTTCCCTCACAGGCCTGGCTTCATCCGGAAGGTTGTCTGGAAGGATGTCCCGTCTAATTAGCATATTATGCTTTTATTGTTATAGGTTACCCTAATTGCAAGGCAATAATTAGGGGAGGGGAACATTCTTGGATGCCAAAACTATAAACTCAAAGGTATGAAGTCACGACAGGTATTACAGGCACAGCTTACACTTGAGGAAATAGCTTGAAGATTTGTTAAGGAGCTGTCAAAGTCCCTCAGCTGGTTAAAGCAAAGCTAGGAGTTCAATCAGCTCCATTACCCCAACCCCTCCATTCGGTTGGAAATATCTCAGTGGAGGTCAGATTCTATGTTGTTGTTGTTGTTATTTTTTATTTGATGGATAATGAGATACATAGTTATATGGTACAGAATTTTCCTTTCAGTACTACCTAAATAGTCTAATTGATCCTAAAGACAACTTCTTTTAAAAGGGATAGAAGTTCTCAGAGTTCCTGTTCTCATCTCACCTCAGCTACAAATTTGCCCAGGATTTTTTCTTGTATCTTAATGAGTGATTGTTACTCATTAAGTTGAGAGAAAGAAAATCTCTAACTGCTAAAGAAATCCAGACTGTGTGGTCTGTTTTTCTCCAAACTTGGACTTTGTAACAATTGGGGAGTTTGACTTCTACAGTCTCTCTGTGTATCTTCTCTTATCCCTACCTGGACCAACTTTTCTTATCTTTTCAAGGCTCAGGTCAAGTTGCAGCTTCCTGGTGAAGAGTTCCTTGACCATTCTGGAAGGAAGGAGTGATCTCTTCCTTCTTTCAAATCCTATATTACCTAATAGCTTTGCCACTCTTTTGACAGTTAATAATGGTTGTGGTGGTGGTGGTGACTAAAATCTGTTGAGGTTTTTATATATATATACAAGAAGGTTTTTATGAATTATCTCACTGCTCACTGTTACCCTATGAGGTATATCCTTATTATCTCTCTTTGAAGACGAATAAACAGACTCAGAGCATTTAAGTAACTTGTCCATGTTCACATAGCTAGTAAGTGCCATAGGCAGAATTTAAAGAGGTTTCTTTTTCTGTCTCTAGCTTCTAGACTCTAAACCACTATATCACTGTTTCTTAGAGTGCAGTCCCTAGACCAAAGGCATCAAAAGTTTTACCTTAAAGTTTCTAAAGGGCATTCTTGAGAAGTTAAATCTGTGAACCTAAATGTTTCCAGCCCCTTGGAGCTTCAGATACCAACTGAGGTATATGAAAACCACTGTGCTAAAAGCTCTGCTAGTAGCAACTCCCCTTAGTTTATATAGGATTTCAGGCACACAATGCTCCTTGATATCTATTCATTCATCTTCTTTGACTATTTCTATATTTAACCCATTATGTGGGTTTATGAATTTTGTTTTCTGACCAGAGTTTAAGAGACATGGTTTCTCCCTACATAACGCCTTCACTGCATACCTCAGTATTTTGGACAAATTCACAGTGCTCATTAAGTCTAATCTTTGATTGTGATTGCCAAATGATCCCTGCTTCAAAGAAGATACCAATCTATGTTTCATACTAAAAGGGATATTTTCACCCCTAAATCCTTCCATGGGAGCCACAAAAATTGGCTCCAAATTCAAAGGACATTTGTGTTATGTCTATTCCATTAAAAAAGGGGGTGTCACAATGGTATGTACTTTCTGTCTGCACTAAGATGTTCCTTGCCTTCCCAGATGTCCTTCCCTCTTCATTAGTTCCCTGCCACTGCCTTCCTGGGGAAAATGAGCTTAGAAAAGAAGTTGAAGATAGTGGTGGCCTTATACATCCTAAGCCATTAAAAAGAGATTAAAGGTAGGACAAATTTGCCTGTTATAGTTGAGCCTTAATTGCTGTTGGCTTCACTGGGAGTAATTGACCCCAAGGCCAATTGGCTGTGAGACACCCCTATGGAGCAGGACTTGCTTCAGTGGGGCTTTGGTGCTCACCCAGACCACCCCTTCAGTGTGTCACTCATGGATGTGGTATAGTTGTAATCTGGTGTGGTCTGAAGCTGTCCACCGGGTGTACTGGCTCTGGGGCCTCCTGGGAGGTGCAAAGTCAGCCACTACCTGTGCTCTGCCTGAGGCCACACAGCACAAGCTACAGAGTGATCTGCAGATGGCTGCTACTTGTGTTGGACTTGGAGGTGCCTAGGAGAGGCCAAGCTGTAAACTTTGGCAAACTGCTGCTAGTGCCAGGCCTGAGGCCACTTATCAAGAGGTATGGGGCCCATTAAGTGTGCTTGTTTGAGATATTTCAGGAAAGTTTCAAGTCTGAGCCAGGACAGTACATTCATATGGAAAAGCCACTGCAAACAACTTGGGTGGGCTGCAAATTGGCTGGGGTGGGAATCTCAGGGAATCACCAGAGTGGGGCAGACAGTATGGCCCAGGTTGATGGAGACTCTGATATGGTGCCTGCCAGTTAACTCTGTGTTTGGGGAGGTCCCAGCACTTTTGTGTGGGAGAAAGCTGCCCCTGAGTTCTCGCCTTGCACACAGCCCACATAAAGGAGGAGGAGAAGGGAAATAAGCATGAACAATAAAATGGCAATAAATACATATCTATCAACAATTGAATCTAAAAATCAAAATAAATGAACAGGGAATCTAAAGAAAAAATAAACTAATGAATAAAATAGAAGCAGAGGCATTGGAACATGGAACAGACTGATGAGTCTCAGAGGGAAGATTAAGCAAAGAATTTATATGCATATATGCATTACCCATGGACACAGACAATAGTGTGGTGAAGGCCTAGGGCATGGTGGGATCTGGGTAGAGGAGGGCGATGGTGGCAAAAAGGGGGGGCATCTGTAATACTCTCCACAATAATACAAAAAATAAATAAATAAAATGGGGGAAAAGATAGGAAAGCATGCCTTTAGCCACAATTATTAAATATTAAGAAGATAATCACAGTTAGACAATCTTTTGTTAGAAAATTGTGTTTAAAAATAGTGTATTTTCTAAACACCAAAATACAAAATGTTCATTATAGATTATTTGGAAAAAATGAAAAAAGCAAGGAAAAATTCATTGCGCACCTCATTATTCAAACTAAACCACTGTCAACATATAGTCCTTCAGTCTTTTTCTATACAAGAATGTATGTGTCTGTGTGTACATGTGTATGACACATAGTTTTTCTAAGTGAATCAATATTGTACCCATTGTTTTGGATCTTTAATTTTCTCTTATGACTAATATTTCATGAACATTTTCTTTTTTTTGAATATTTTCTTATTTCCTTAAATATCCTTATATAAAACATGATGTTGAAAAACTTTATAAAGTGGACAAATTAAATTCTTGTCTTGTTTTTTAAATGTCTAATGACTGGTGTGCCTGGGTCAAGGATTATTGCAAAATGAGACAAGCCAGGAAGTACCAGAACCAGGAGCCAAGTTGGACTTATGTGCCTGTGGATAATAGTTTAACTCCAGGCCCTTTGGTTCATACATCAAAGTAAGTCATAAGGAGGAAGCTAGGAATAGTATCCAGGAGGTCAGAAGAAACAGAAAGAGCATAAGCAAAGTTCCAAATTATACTACATGGAGTGAGAGTCCAGATTAGTTGGAGTCCCAGCAAGGCAGGTCAGAGGTCAGGGATCAATGTCCCAAAGGCAGGAAGGCAGCACAGTCTGAGTATACACAGGTCTGGGTTAGGAATTTAAGACTGCAATAAACAAATATTTAGGAAACAGAGGAACTAAACACAAGAACTCAGGATCTGGGTCAGGAAGCAGCTCAACACAATGGAAAACCCAGAGTGTCCTTAGAGTTGTAACAATTACTGCCATAGAAGCTCTACTTGCTGATTGAAGGCAAGAGGACTCAGGTCATTACTGGGAACAACAGCAACACTACTCTGCAATAGACATAAGAGAGGCTAGAAGCTGGGCTGAAAATGCAGACCACCTTTTCAAGGTAAATTTTTCAAAAACTGTATGAAAATAAAATTTGCCATTTTTCTAGTAAAAAGGGTCAAATAGTGTTTCGGTGTGGCTAAAATCATGTAAATTCCTGGGAAAAGAGGTGGGTATCAGAGTAAGGGGAAGAAGATTGGTAGCATTAAAGAATATGGATTGAGAAGTTTGGTTATGTGGGCTACAAAAACATATGGTATTACTATATATAATAGCTAACTTTCTAGCCTGCATATAGTAGATATTCAGTAAACATTTTTAATTAATTAAAATATAGTCAATATATATCGTAATAACCATGCATGGTGCCAACTGAGTACAGGAAATATCAGGGGGAGCACTTTTTAAATTATATGATTGTCTAACCATTATGCCGTATACCTGAAACTAACACAAAATAATATTAAATGTAAACAAGCCTGTTAAGGTCAGCGTTGGATTAGTCACAGTGGGACATCTTATGAAAGAATAATGTGTCACTGTGCTTTAAAAGATCTTACTGCTTTTTGAAGGAAAATGAAACAATTAAAGAAAAAAAGATACTCATTATCCTAGTGTTTAGGACTAGAACACCGTAGCCAGTGAACATGTAGAAATCCAAACAAGAGAATCTAGGGATCAGTATTTCCTAGAGGGGCTAAAGAAATTTTCCAGGTGGAGGGAAAAATCAAGAACAGGAAGGTTTGGGCACAAAACGTAAGCAAAAGGACAAGGTGCCTCTCAACACCAGATTTCCCACCACTTTTTAAAAAAATGTATTGTTGATGCTATTATAGATATTCTCCATCCCCAACCTTTATCCACCTCCTCCCAGCCCTAGCTGCCCGCCCCCGCCCCGCCCCGGCCTCTGGTCATCACCACACTGTTGTCTGTGACCATAGGCTATGCATATATGTTCTTTGCTTAATCTCTTTACCTTTTTCATCCAGTTCCCCCATTTCCCTCCCCTCTGACCTCTGTAAGTCTCTTCCATGTATCCATGTCTCTGCTTCTATTTTGTTAGTCAGTTTATCTTTGTTCATTAGATTCCAGATATAAGTGATATCATATGGTATTTGTCTTTCTCTGTCTGGATTATTTTGCTTAACATAATAATCTTCAGGCCCATCCATGCTGTCACAAAAGGCAAGAGTTCCTTCTTTGTTATAGCCGCATAGTATGCCATGGTGTAAATGTACCACAACTTTTTTTATCCATTCCTCTACTGATGGGCACTTGGGCTGCTTCCAGATCTTGGCTATTGTAAATAATGCTGATATGAACATAGAGGTGCATATATTCTTTCGGATTTGTGCTTCAGGATTCTTAGGATATATTCCCAAAATGCAGTTCCATTTTTAATTTTTTGAGGGAACTCCACACTGCTTTCCACAGTGGCTACACCAGCCTGCATTCCCACCAACACTGCACTAGGTTTCCCTTTGATTTACTGTTGATAGCCATTCTGACAGGTGTGAGATGACATCTCATTGTGGTTTTAAGTTTCATCTCTCTGATGATTTGTGATATTGAGTATCTTTTCATATGTCTATTGGCCATCTGTATGTCCCTTTTGGAGACGTGTCTATTCTGGTCATTTGCCCATTTTTTAATTGTATTGTTTGCCTCCCTGGTGTTGAGGGGTTTTTGTTGGTTTGTTTTTCTTTATTGATTAAGGTATTACATATGTGTCCTTGTCCCCCCATTCCCCCCTCATCCCACTCCCATTCATGCCCTCACTCCCCTGTTGTCTGTGTCCATTGGTTAGGCTTATATGCATGCATACAAGTCCTTTGGTTGATTTCTCCTCCTTACCTCCACCCTCCCCTATCTTCCCTCTGAGGTTTGAGCATCTGATCGATGCTTCTCTGTCTCTGGATCAGTTTTTGTTCATCAGTTTATGCTGTTCATTATAATCAACAAATGAGTGAGATCATGTGATATTTATCTTTCTCTGACTGACTTATTTTGCTTAGCATTATGCTCTCCAGCTCCATCCATGCTGTTGTAAATGGTAGGAGTCCCTTCCTTTTTATAGCAGCATAGTATTCCATTGTGTAGATGTACCACAGTTTTTTAATCCACTCATCTGCTGATGGGCACTTAGGCTGTTTCCAAATCTTAGCTATTGTAAATGGTGCTGCTATGAATATAGGGGTGCATATATCCTTTCTGATTGGTGTTTCTAGTTTCTTGGTGTTGAGTTTTATAAGCTCTTTATATATTTTGGAAATTAAGCCCTTATCAGATTGATCACTAGTAAATATGTTCTCGCTACTTCTGATATGCTTTCCAAATTAGTGTTCCTCAACCCATATTATAGTGACAACCAATTCATTCATCCTAAGAATGTTCAGCAATGCACTAATCTTGACATGCTTTATTTTAAAAGACTTCCATAGTCAATGTTGGGGATGTTTCAGATTCTCTTAGAGATTCATTATGCATTTTAGGATATTAAACTCTCTGAAAAGTTTTACAATAAATAAAATAAATCTGTTTTTGCTTTGTTTAATCAGCTTTTCTCAAAACAACTTGACTATCAAACTTTTGTTTGAAGAAATGCTCACGAACATTCAATGGTGCTAGTGTGCTTCAGAAAACACTGTATTAGAAACTTCTGCAGAAGATTAATCAACCAAAATTCTCTATCAAAATCTCCAAAAATGAGGGACAATAAGAAAGGAAAATAGGGTAGGGCATCAAGAGTAACACCAGCTGCTGTCACTGCAGAGGGAAAGGGAGAAGAAACAGTCACAAACCATTTTAATAGGTGGTTTGTGTACAGAGTCATGGTTGAAAAACACTGTTCTAAGCTACTACCCATTTCTAATCTCTTTAGACCTGATTGAGATGCATGACATTTGAGTTTGTTTGGTTTGATGAACAAATAACCATTTCAGCTGCAGAGGGAGAACTGGCAGACACGAAAGTACCTTTTTTATTGGAAATCCTGATGTTAAAATTCTCTCTCTCTCTCTCTCTCTCTCTCTCTCTTCTTTTGTGGGAGATTAATTTTTAATTTGATTTAGTCCTGGTTATTGAGGATTGGGGTATATCATTGGCCTTTGAAAACAGGGATATTTACATATTTTCTCTTGTTTTCCAGAAGTGTGTCTTGGTTGTAGCTGATGAGGATATCCTATTCTCATGTTCATTGGTGGAGAGCTTCTTAGAGGAATCCTTCCCCTGGATATGTGCAAGCAGAATATAATAATCATTTGGCAAGCTTGTCATGAAGTAGAGGTTGGTCTCTGTGATTTTTAAGAGTCTAGAATTAGGTTGGTGGTTCTCAAATCTCTCAGCACATTAAAATCTCTCAGGGAGATTTTTGAAAATACCAAATGCCAAGGCTCCACTCCAGAGCAATAAAATCAGAATCTGTGGAGGTGGGCCCCACAAATATTATTGTTTAAAGGCTCAAAAGTTATTCTAATATGCACCCAGTGTTCAAAATAGCAGGATTAGATATTTTAACCCTTCATTAAAAATATGAATCATAGCATGATAGATCTTATGATTCCATTATTCCATGCTGGATTTCTATTCAAGCAGAGTAGGTGTCTGCCAACATGGGATGATTTGACCTTTACCCCTCTGTGTTTCCAAAGTCCCTGTGGACTAACCATAGTTTCTAGAAATTCTCCTTATCAGAGGTGTGCTGTTTTATGCTAGGCCCCCAGGATCCTCTATTAAAATGCAAATACCCTATGCAGAAGTACATTAAAGCTATTATTAGTCACTGGCACCATGTTGCTTAATGGATTAGCTTGTCATCTAACAAGGCCATGGGGAAATAGGGATGGTACAGGAAGAGAAACATTCCTTACTCAGAATTTGAGTCAAAAATTTCAGCAAAAGTTTACTGTCTTCTTTCCCTTTACTTCTCCATTGCTCTCCCCTTTCGGTTTTAAGATTATTCATCTGAGCCTCTACATTTGCTGCCTGTGAACTATGAGTCATTTTTATTCATTTTGTCCCTGTTGATGGTAGCATATTTGGTATCTTATAAAGAACTGGGATAAAGGAGCTGTTTGTTTTCTGTGTTTTTTTTGTGTGTGTGTTTGATGTTAACAATTTCTTCCAGTATTCTCTTTCTCTTAACAATGCAGTCAGAATAGCAAGTAATGCAGGTTGTTTATGCAAGCCACTAAATTACCCAATTACCAAACTGATTGTGGGCTCATCCAATTTAATGAAATCAAACTGGTAAAATTTAGCAAAAAAAAAAAAAAAGCAATTTGAATTCCCCAGCCCCATACTCATAAAAGGACCAGCTATTTGAGGAACCTGATCAAACTGACCAGAGGTTCTGATACCATGTTCTTGTGATTTCATTGACATCTTTTGAACCCATTGCTTGCCTTTCAGTAAAAAACTGAATGTGGGCTTGACATCCTAACTTCTTAGTGGATACTTTTAGGTTTCCAGTGGATACAGTTTGTATAGAGATGATCAATAAGCCTCTTTTATTACTAAAGTCTACTGTGTCACCCCTTCTTCCTATCCCTAACTTTGTTAGCCACATTTGGCTGTCATTTGGCTGCGAGTTGCATTTTTTTGCATTAAATCACTTCTCAATGATAGCCATCTCTTTCTGTCCTCTAAATATCTACACTTTCCCACATCAAGTATTTAGCAAAGCAGTTTGTCCTTTAATTCACTTCATGTAACACAACGCTCAATTAATCTCATTTAAATTGCTCTTATTTGCTCCTTTGCTACTGTCATATAAGTGTTTTATTCCCCTAAAAAGATTATGTTATCCCCCGCCCCCAGTCTTTGTTTCAAAGATGCTCTAGCTTCTCAGATATTTCATCCAACTTCTCTAGCTAACTTTTGGTAATTGATAATCCCTCAACATATTTATTCATTTGGTGTGGCCATGTCTTCATAATCCTCATTGAATTCATAATCCAGTTTAGTGAAAATTTCAGTTTAACTAGTTATTATGACATCTGTTTAAGTGACTGAGTTCATTCTTTCCTTTCATTCATTTCAGTCTACATAGGCACATCCTTT